CACATGACAGTAGGATTGGAGTTTGACTGGAGCAGCTACAAACTGAGGAACACCCAGGATTGTCAGCAGCCACCAGAAGCAGGAAGAGGAAAGAAGGATTCTTCACTTCAGCCTTCAGAGGATGCGTGATCACATGACACCTTGATTTCAGATATCTGGCCTCCAGAACTGTGAGAGAAAAAATTTCTGTTGTTTTAAGCCACGCATTTTGTGGTAAATGTTACTTAGACAACCCTAGGAAATTAATACAGTATCTATCATGGTATCTACCACAAGGCAAAGAGCACAGTGCATTGCTGAATACAGGCTCTGCACAGTGACTAGAGAGAAAGAGGTCAAAGGGCTTGCTTGAGCCTTAGGACTGAAGATAAAGCAAATGGGAAGGAAAGATAATAATGGTGGCTCCTATTTGCTGAGCCCCTCTCATGAGCCAATTAATCCTCACAACTCTGCAACACATGTCAACTGTACTTTAATTTTTTTAAAATGATCCTATAAGACTCCTGCATCACAAGGCCAGAAAGCAAAATCCAAGTGAAGGCCACCTGCCCAAGGTTACACACAGGGGACCTTAGAGTCCACCCCAGTCCATAGACACCCAAACCTATGGTCATCCTTCCAAAGAGGTTCATGTGTCCTAAGGTACTCTCATTCCACCAACCCAAGATTGTGGAGTTGAGGCTTTTGAGAAAAATGAAGCTTTTACAGAATCTATAGGAAGAGGGAGAAAATGGTTTTTGCCCAAGAGAGTGATATTCCATGATTTTAGACCCCTGATACATAAACTTGAAATATTTACTTATTTTTAAGAGCACTTACTATTTTTAAAACCAGCTCTGATCTCCACTTAGCTCTAATGGAGTAAATAACTTCTAGTTTATTTCTTGACCAACAGGAAGGAACAACTCTTTCAATTTTTAAAACAAAAGATTCTATTTTGGTTTTTGTTTTGTTTTGTTTCTCACATATAAGTGAACTACTGTATATGGTTTTTATCCTTCACTGTCTAATTTGTCTCACTTAGCACAGCATCTTCTAGGTCTGTCCATGTAGGTGATAGATGGTTTCTAGACTTAATATGGAGACCACTTTATAAAGAACATAAATGTTGACTAACTGTGGTATGTATCTGAACCCAATATAATATTGTATGTCGACTGTACTTTAATTTTTTTAAATGATCCTATAAGATTTTCCTCAGATGTTGCAATATAAACAGTGTGATAACTAGTCCACATCTGATAAAAATCAAAGAAATTGTCACCACAAAAGCTGGAGTACTGGTCAAGATGCAATAAAACAAGCTCCTGTTAAGAAAATCAGTCAACAAAGAGAGGGCAGAGAAGGGGAAATTATCACACAGTAAAATTTTTAAAATTATAAGACTAGAAGAGTAGAAGTGTCATAAAAGTGTTATTAACCAAAAAGATAGATTTATGTTTTATAGCTAAAATCTAATACTCACGGTGTACAAATATTTTATTGTAAAAAGTGACACAAGTCTAAATCATAATAATGTGAATCAATAACTAATAGCATTTATAAATACAGCTACTAGAAAACATATTTCAATTTCCTAGCCAGGAAGCTAAAGAATCGATCAGCAAAGCCAAGAGTGAAGTGAGGACATGCTTGGTGTGCCCAAAATGCCTCCACAGGCTAAACATGGGACTGAAAGTTGAATCAGAGTTGTATCCTCAAAATGTACAAGTAGAATCCAATGTCACTGTCTCAAACTGAGTTAATAATTGGACACAGAGAAAGGATGAGGCTTGAGGTGCTCTGATTCCCACCTAAGTCACTGGAGAAATAGGTCATCTTCTCTGGATATTTTTCTGGGATGGCCTGGGACAGCAGAAAGCAGACGAAAAGGGGCAGGAGGAAGGGAAGCAACCTCACTAAATAAGAATTTTGGAATAGGTGGTGTTTGGGAAAATGCAAGGATGCTTAACTTTGGTGTAGTTCTGTAAATTGACTCAAGAAGACAGATAACTTTAAATTTTTATGCTTTTCTTTCTTCGGGTTTGATGTGTTGGGAAGGAGATTGAAAAGAGTAGTTAAAATGAGCAAACAGGAACCATGTGGCTCCCTGACGTGATCCTGTCACTCCTCAACATGTTTAGCTAGATGTTGCTGAGTGTGGACATGATTTTGTTCAATCAGATGCAGCAGCCTCTTATCCCCCAAGTGCCACAGAGAAACTAAATGGTCCCTTGTCCTCTGGGGAAAGAACCAGGGATGGGGGTGAGGGGGAAATAATAAGAAAGGGTTACAACACATACAGAAGAGTGGAAGTGGAGAAAGGGATGAGTGAGAAGAAAAAAGGCAGGGGTGAAAAGTAGCATGTGAGTGGGGGAAGTAGGGGTGTGGATCCTGCCATCAGATCCAGGAAAGCCTTGAGCATCACCAGGAAGGAGAAAAAGCCCTTTCCACACTTCCTGACACACCCACTTGATCCAGTTGTCTCCTTTCAAACACAGGCCAGTGTACACCATTTCATTGTCATAGGTTCATTCCAGCAAAGCTCTAAAAAATCCCTTTAACATTCATAAAAATCGCATTACAGTTAAGGTCTTCTATGGAGGCTCTCCCTTAGCATTACAGACCATCTGCCAAGTGGGTCCCCCAGTCTGGCTGGTACCACCTTGTATTTTCACACTAGATTCCAGATTCTTTCCATCCCTAGACTCTGAGTTTCAGCTCATCTTTGAGAGATTGCAAATTAGTTGCAACAAGTTAAAATATTAGTGGATAATCTACATTCACTTTTGGAGCCTTGCAGACCACCTCCTACCCAGCCTGATTTCATTTCTAGAGCTTCTGCAACCCTGTAGGTTGGGTCTAACGGCCTCCTCTCTGCTCCCACAATACACTTCACGTGCCCAGACCCTGGAGCTTCCCACACTTGAACAGAAACCACTCAAGGGCAGGAAGAGTGCACATTATCCCCAGGGCCTTGTCAGCACAGTGCCTAGCACATCACTGGTGCTTAGTAAATAACATGGAATGAACGAATGAATGTCATTCACCTCTAACAATGACAGAACCACATTATAGGAGCCAGGAAAGCCACTAAGGCTCTCTACACAAGACTTTGTGTCAGTGGGGAGTAGATGAATTCCCCAAATGCTTGTCAAAATTAGTTTTCCTTAAACAAAAACTCAGCCAAAGGGTTATGCAACACTGAAGCCATATTTTGGATCAATCTACCCTAGATTTACTAATAGTTTTAAGACAATAGATATATTTTGGTCAATGATTTAGTCCCTCCATCAAAGCTCTGCTGTTCAAAATTTATAAGTTCTTCTTTGTAACATCTGCTATTTCTTTCCTCCTTCCACCTTATCACAACCATCAAGAAACATTACCCACAAATACCCAAGTGCCTTAAATGATGGCTTCCTGTGCCTCCCCAAGCTGCTCATTTTCTTGTATCTCTCATCTTGGTAACTAGCTTTGGTTGAAGAACTCACCCACATACATTTCCATGAGGATAAGGATCAGTCTATAGCTAATCCTTCCTCCCTGAGGGAAGGTACAATATGTTCAGGGGTTACTCCAGGTCAAACAGTTGTTCTGCTGCAAGGCATTATGAACTTGTGCAAAGCTCCATTTTTCCTCAGGAGCATAGCATAAAAGTTTCTTTTTTTAAGTAGAAGCCTCTGCTCTCTATCTGGCTACATTTTTGCATACAGATACCTTGTAAGTTATTTTTCAAATTCCAAGGTTCATTAATTTAATTGAATCTCTTCCTAATTTTTAATTGAATCTGCATTTCTCTGTAACCTTTGGAAAGACAGAAGCCACATTACCATATTGGAGAGGACAAGATCACAGATTTATAAGAGAGAAGCACAAAATCACAGGCAGATTTCCTTATAAATTTATTTTTGTAACAAAAAAATTAACATTCAAAGGCAATGTTTTTATTGTACAGTATAAAATAACTTTTGCTCAATTAAAAAAGGGTTTCTTTTACTGACAAGCCACCAATACATTTTCCATTTAAAATAAAAACATTTACAATTTGCAGCACTTGTAGAAAAAAAAACCTGTTCAATAATTATATAAATACTCTTAACAGATTCCAGTCTCCCATTATGTATTCTTTTGGTGATGTCAGCTTTCTAAGGCCAATTAGCTTCTAAATGTGAAAGGTACCTTGTGGCCAACATTCTGCTTATTATTCAAGGCATCCATTTTACTTTTTTTTTTTTTTTGCACAGACTTGACAAGTCTGAAAAATCTATTAAGTTAAAAAGAATGAAGAAATATAATACAGTTGATATTAACAAACAATATTTTTCCCTTAGCTGCAATTTTTCCCCAGCTGATTTACAAAGTGCATCAGTTAAATATGTCTGTACATTTAGAACATTAAATATGTCAACAGTAAGACATTTTTAAATATTTTGAATCAAATACTATAGCACAAATATAATTTACAATACTTTGCACAGAAAACATTACATCTGAAATATAACTTTAGATATTATATAAAAATACATATATTTTCTCTCGTCGTTAGAAAAAAGTATTTATTTGCAGGTTCCAGCATGATGTAACAATTCAAAAGAACATAACCCTTTAGATTATCATCCTTTTACAATTAGATAACACTCTCTCTGCTTCCGCTGCAGAGTGGCACATAAAAAAGGGCTAGATACAGAGAATTAACCCCACCTGTGGCCAAAATGCAGTTTTTCCATAAAGGCAACCATAAGTGCTCTAATCTGTTTTAATTCTAGAATTCATTACAAAATTTAAAACCATTGTGTAAGAAAGCCTTCAGACTGTAACACACTTTGAGTCTAACATCTCCCTTCGGCTATAAATACACATGCTCTCTACAGAGTCAAAAGCTGGACAGAGTCTTCGTATACCACGTAGGTCATATCTCTTAGTAGTCTCACATACCTATGTACATCTTTCTTGGCTTACTTAAATGATAAGTTCCCAAACGTCCTAGGAAATACACAATATGCTCCACAAAATGGGGGTCAATCTATATCTCGAACTTTAAAAGCCCCAAAGTACGTTGCATCTTGATCTGGATCCAGTAGTGAAGGGTTGGATACTTCGATGCTTATTTCCTCACCAGACCGTAATTTAAAAAATCCTCCAACATTTATGGAGTAAAAATGGAATTCAGAATTCCCTGACCAGTATTTGGTGCTTCCTCCTTTCATCAGGGTGTGGGAACTTGGGATTTTAATACTGGTTTTAGTGACATAGACCATCAGCTGAAGATACTCCGTATCAAGGTCTCCCGAAGTTTCATGATGGCGAAAGCAAATGTTGGCATACAGGTAATAAAAGCCGTCTTGGTTGACAATTAGTTTTCCATTGCTGAAAGTCATGTTGGAGATCTTGGCCCAACCTCGGTCATGGTACCAGGAGGACAGACTCACTTTGTGGGAACCTGAAGAGGGAAGAGGCACGTGATTTAAAATTCACCCTTTTGAAATAAAAGGAGAAACCAAGATGGCAGCATAGGGTAGACACCCAAATGCAGCCTACCACAACAAATTTGAATTTAGAACTGGAAAACAAGGGAGGCATTTCCCTGAAGCACCGTATGGCTAGCTGAGAGGAGGCTCTGCCATCTGGAAAGGAGAGAGAAGGCACGCTGAACCTCAGGAACTGTGAAGATATGGAGAACTGTGCATACGCAAAGGCACTGGCTAACTCCCAGCGCACAGAGAGGAAGGGCCAGACCGAGATTGCTGCTGGCGTGCTCCCACACAGAGAGTAGGACCAGGCTGAGTTCACTACTGGCTTCCTCCTGGCATGTGGAGAAGGCAGACAGCTAATGCGCGGCTGGCTTTCTTGTTCAAGAGGAAAACAGAATCACCCTATTGCTATGATAGACAGCCCCAGACAGGGAGAGGCCAGACTGTCAGGCAGTGGGCAAAAATCTCTCGGAGGTGTGTGAAGCCAAAGGCCGTTACTGCGGGACTTGGGGAGGAGCCAAAGGGAAAACAAAGCTTGTCTGCACCAACCTGAGACTCTGTCCCATCCAAGCTGAGCACAGAAGCTCTCCCAGAGGCTGGCTTTCTTTAAGGAGGGACTGGCTGGAATCCAAAGCTTGTCTGCACCTTTACCAAAGAGGTGCGCGTGCCTGCAACCAATCTTCCAAAACTCACCTTGAACAGGACTTTTCTAAGGCAAGACTGGCAGGGAACCAAAGACTGTCTGCACCAGCCCGAGATCCCGCCCCATCCAAGTGGAGTACAGAAGCCCTCCTAGCTGAGATACTGCTGATCCTCACAGCCAATTGGCTTGGAGATCAATGCTTCCCAGTGATACCAACAATACGCAAGGCTTAACAACAAGACTGCACACACAGCCCACAAAGGGTTACACCAAGACTGTCCATCTCAGGTAACTGGGAAGGCTGTGCTACTGAGCTCTACCAGAACACCTAGCACACAAAACTATTCCATCAAATGAGGGAAACAACTAAAATGCAGACAAAAGGAAGGACACAAAGGAAGGAGATGGAGGAAAAGAAAAGATTGGACATTGAGTTCAAAACTACAGTTATAAGGTTATTCAACAATATCCTAAAAAAAAAAAAGGCTGATAAAATAAATGAGACCTATGAGGATATGAAAAGGGAGCAACTAGAAATAATAAGGGATCAACTAGAAATGAAGAAAACATTTTCTGAAAAAAAAAAAAATTATACAGAGTCCTAAAAACAGACTGGAAGATCGCAAGAATCAAGACAAAGATTTAGAACACAAAGAGCCAGACGACACTCCTCCACAGAAGCAAGAAGATAAGAGAATCCAGAAAGTTGAAGATAATTTAAGAAACCTCTGGGACAATTTCAAGTGAACTAACATCAGAATTATGAGGATCCCAGAAGAAGAGAGAGAGCAAGATACCGAAAGAATGATGGAAGAAATAGTGACAGAAAACTTTCCCCACCTGGTGAAAGAAATAGACTTACAAGTCCAGGAAGCCCACAGAACCCCAAACAAAAGGAATCCAAGGAGGACCACACCAAGACACATCATAATTAAAATTCCAAGAGCAAAAAACAAAGAGAGAATATTAAAAGCAACAAGAGAAAAGCAGGTAGTTACCTATAAGGAGCACCCATATGATTGTCAGATGATTTCTCAACAGAAACCATGCAGGCCAGACAGGAATGGCAAGAAATATTCAAGGTGATGAATAGCAAGAACCTACAGCCAAAAATACTCTACCCAGCAAAGCTATCACTCAGAATCAAAGGCCAGATAAAGAGCTTCACAAATAAATAAAAAAAGCTAAAGGAATTCATCACCGCCAAACCAGAATTATAAGAATTACTGAAGGGGGTTATTTAGGAAGAGGAAGAAGATAAAGATAAAAATTATGAACAACAAATATGTAACTATCAACAAGTGAATATAAAAACTAAGGGAATTAAAAAAATCTGATGAACAATATTAACTGATGAATATAATAGAATCAGAGTTATGGAAGGGGAGTGGACTGATGATTCTCGGGGAAAAGGAGAGTGGGGGTGCAGGAAGAGACTGAACAAAAACTGTGCACCTATGGATGAGGACAATGGGGGATGGGGAAAGGACAGAGGGTGGGGTGGGAACCTGGTGGAGGGGAGCAATTGAGGAGGGGGGGAAGAGGAACACATTTGTAATAATCTGAACAATAAAGATTTATTTTTAAAAATTCATCCCTTCAATGACAAGAACATCCTCACAATTCTATGAGGTTAATAATAATAATTTTTAAAAAATACATGGCATGCCAGTCATTGTTCCAACAGGAGAATAACTTTTCAGAATTGATCTTCTAAAAGGGGAGAAATACATTAAGATGTACTTAGTGCTCTGTGCTAGGCACCTGACAAAAACTCATTTTCCTTCCCCCCGAGTTAAGTATAATATGTGTTCAAGAAGCAAGTCATGAACCTTGACAGGAGAAGTGCAGCTAATTGCAATGAGAATACAAAAAAAGGAGAGATGGTCCCCCAGAGGGATCAAGAGTGACTTTGTTATTACTGAACCTGAGAACACAAAGGAGAAATAGGATGCAACCAACAGAAGCAGAAAGTCATTCAAGTTTGAAGGAAGAGAATGAGCTAAAGGCAGTAGAGAGAAAGCCTGAAATAAGTATACATAACTTTCATACTTCACAGGGTTCTATCTTCTCTTTTAACTCATGGAAATGGTATGTAGAAGGAGATGAAAGTTAGGATTACAGTAACTTTGATTAAAAGGTCAAACTCCTAAAACTCTATTGTCACCACCAATTTCCCCCTCCTCTAACAGCCCAAATACCTCCCAGTCTCATATAATTGAAAAGTTGCTCCCAGAGAAGCTCTCAAAAGAATCACTCCTGGCATTGCATCCCCAGCTTCACAGCTTCACAGGATCCTTTGCTTGTTTTGTGTTTTTATTTATTTTTATTTTTTATGCAATTTATTGGGGTGACATTGGTTGATAGGATCCTTTGTGACCAAAGTATCACAAAACCTCCTGATAGACCAGTTCTTTTTTAGTCACTTCTCCCCCTGAAATGTGGTGACAGCTATCCCCATGCTACTGTTCTGGAGCAGTAAAAGTTTCTAAAGAATCTTCTAAATCAGCAATGTATCCAATGCTTTTCACATTTTAGGGATTTAGTGTGTCTTATTAGGTCCCTAAAAATTGTCAATACCTCTATGATAAACCCAGTTAATCAATCATTTGTGCTTATATGGACACCTATTATTCAAGTAGGTATCAACTAGTGGGGGGAAAGTTGTTATGCTGTGGAAAATCCAAAAATACTTTTTTCTCCAAAAACTTTGTACTAGTAAATACTTGTGCCAAATGAGGACTATCATCTGTTAAGATTTCAACAAGGCAAAACAGAGCTGAAGAGTCAAAGATCAGGGTTGGAGTAACCTCTACAGCCAATGAAGCTAAGGAGAAGTCCACTGCTGCCTGCCACCCACAAAACAATCAGGTCATGGGGGGGCCTTAGGCTTAAAGTAGATTCCACAGATCCATCAGAGCTGACAATCCTCTGGTTACAGTGACTCCTCGCAGAATCATAAACCCACACTGGCTATCTTCCAGACTAGTCTGACTCCTGTGGAACCCACCTGCAGCTTTCTCTAGAAATCCACAAAAAGGAGAATTTTCTACTATTTCTGTAGGACCACTAGGCAGCTTGGCATATGGTCAATAGCATACGGTTCCAAAAACCAGCCAGGTGTGTAGAGCACATGGGCAGGCGGGGAAGGGGATGCACAGAGCCAAGTTACAGTGGGGCAACTCATCTTTAGGCCTCTGGAGTGAAAGCCAATGGTTCCAACCCTTCTCTCCGGGACAATATATTTACTGAAATCCACATTTCATCCACAGGAGGGCATTCGAACAAGCCTACAAGACCTTACAGGCACAGCTACCTTCAGGACCCACCACAGCACAAGTCCTTTTTCATTGGAGGTCCTGCCTCAGGTCATCCTAGATTAAAACATCCCAGATGTAAACGTCATCCCATGGTCCCAAGTGAGTCAAGATGAGACTACATGAGTATTCATCACATCCTCATAAATACTAGCAAGTAATTCCACCAGACTGATATAGAGCTACACGACCCATTGACAAAGCTAACAAAATTCAAGATGTTTCCTATCTCAAATTATTGCCTTTCCTTCCTTCTTATGCTACTCCTGGATTCAATACTTATACAATCAATTATTTGTCTTAATTTATCTCCTATGATTGCTGTTAGAGAGGAGCAGCATGACAAAGGTGAAGTCTATCCTCTCAATGGGATAGAGCAGCTTGTGATAAACCACAGGCTCAGAGATATGTCTTGGTAAGGCAAAGAAGGAATATGAATTAGAGAAGGGAGAACAAAGGACCCTTGATTACATACCACTCCCACTATTAGCTAAAATCAGGTGAAAGGTGTCTCATTTCCTACAAAGCATATCTCTGTCTTTATCCACTTATTCAGCCATTCTCTGATCAATTTAGTTGATCAATCATTCAATAAATGACCATTGCACTTTTTTATGAGCATTCCTTCTGTCCACAATTGAGAATTATATAAAGCAGTGTACCCTCAAGGCACTAACCACACACGTAGTGGAGAAAATGAGAAATGAGCATACACAACAAAAAATATGACATCTTCATTTCTGCATGTCACATAGCACATGGATGAAGTTCAGTTAAAGCAACTGAAAGTGAAAACTCAGAAATCAGCGGCAGCAGGAGAGCTCAGCCCAGTGAGGAAAGAAGGAGCCAGAGGACAGGAGGACTTGGATCAAATACAGATGGGCTGAGGAAAGGGAGGGTACTGTCCATGAGGAAAACTGCAGAGGACGGAATACACACAGTGTACCGAGGGGAAAGGACTCCTGAACAGACAGTAGTGGGAAACAGGATGAGATTACGCTGTGATCCGGGTGAAGTCCTCTCCTGGCAGATCTGGGTTTCCATCCCTTATGAAGCTTGCTGATGGCCTCTTATCCCAGCTCCCTTCCCCAGTCTCTATGGTCACTGCTGTTAGATGTTGGAGAAGAGATACCTACAAATATTTAGCCCTAAAGAAAGCCACATATTCTGGCCTCACAACATATTTCCCAATGTATTTCATTCAAGAAACTTGGCCAGCCCAGCTGGGTGTGGCTGGGTGGCTGAGCATTGACCCAGGAACCACGAGGTCATGGATTCAATTCCCAGTCAGGACATATACCCGGGTTTCGGGCTCGATCCCCAGTGTGGGGGATGCAGGAAGCAGCCAATCAATGATTCTCTCTCACCATTGAACCTTCTATCTCTCTCTCTTCTCCCTTCATCTCTGAAATCAATAAAAATATATTTTTTAAAAAGCTTTGCCAATGCATAAGCTAACAGTCAATATAAAGCAGGTTGTGATTCTTCTTATGTGTAAGTAAGTATGAAGCAGAAGCCCAAAATGAACTTGCAAAATTAAAGCCATCCTCCTAGTACTGGCCAAAACTGGGAAATAGATGGACTCAGGGGCTTGTTGGCCCAGCCAGAGGAGCAAATTCTATTTTCTTAAACAGAAGCATACACTAATTCATGCCACTCAGTCTCAAATTTAATAGCCATTGGAAAGTAATCAGAAATTTTGCCTTGTTTTTTGGCAATGATTTGAGTCTAGGTGCCTGGAGAGAGAGCTTTGAAACTGCAGCATGCTTGCTCTTGGCAAGCAGACTCTGGCACAGTTTAATGCAATATTTTTTTCACATTTCCTTTGAAATGAACTGAAGGGATAAATGCAGAGTACATCCAGAGCACACACAGCTGATACATCAAGTATTAATTTGATTGCCTTTGCTAACATGCAAAATAGTTTTACACTCAGAAAGTCGGTGTAGCTACACCGTTAGGCACACATACACACATAGAAAGAAAATTTGTTTATTAAATAAGTATCTGGGACAGGATAGATTGTTTAGGAAAATCATCTAAAAACTAGAGTTGGTTTCTCACTTTCTATGTCTGCTGTCAGGAAAAATCCCTCCATGGCTCATGCTATGGTGATAGTGGCTTCAAAATTGTTTACTAAAACCTGAATTTTTTTTTTTTTACTCCAAGAAATATCTGCCTTAGATAATTTTTAGAACAAAGTGGAATATGTATAATTATTTAATTAAACTCAAACAATAACAGATTGCGTTCACTGGGTACTTACTAGATGTCAGCTTCCATAAAGGAATGTTACTGCATTCCTCATTAAATATTCATAGCTCTTCTTGAGGTAATACTACCACCATCCCAGTGAAGAAACTGAAGCACAAATTATGCCAATAATCTGCACAAAGTCACAGTAAACTGTACAGTGGAGCCACAAACCCAGGCAGTCAGGCCTTAGATCCACTGCCTATAAAATCTATTTCTTACCACGAAAAAGAGGAACATGAATTTCTCTCTCTCCGACTAATCCAATTGGCAAGAAGGTGCTTAGATAACAACCTATCCTGTTAAAAGCATAAACTTAGGAGAGTGGAATTCAACTTCTAATCCTGCCACACCGTAACCTTGAGCAGGTAAACTCTGTGAGACCTCAGCTTCCCTGTCTGCAAATCCGAAGTAACCACTACCTTGTAGGTTGTAGTAATGATTAGAGTCAGGAATTCAGAGTGAAATGCCTACTACATAGTGTGTGTTGAATAAGTGGCATAACAATAATAATAACAATAATGTTCAATTGTCACTCGATCATAATGTCCCTTGTAATATTTTTGGTGCTCCAAAACCCCAAGATGGAGTAAGCAGTGGGGATTATATGTTGAAATAGCTGGGGCATTCAGATAGATGTAGGCCCAGAGCTCTAGCTTTCCTCATTTCCAAAAGATAACCAGGTCTCTAGTTTATTGAGCTGAATCCCACCTGTCCCCCACCTCACCCAGAGAAAGTGATAACCTCTGGAGAAGAAGAAGTATGTTTCATTTCATGCCTATTAAATATCACTCTGTCAAGCATCTACCTGGAATTCTGCAGGAGATGGCTGAGTATATGACTACTGGGTAAATTCATGTACCTCACACGCAAGCAATGGGGATGGCCAACTTTAGCTTGGGTAAATATAGATGAGAATCATAAGGGATTCCCAGGTATGCAATCTTAATTGGCAATCATCCTAGATAATAAAACCCTAGTTTACAAATTAACCGAACAGCAGAACCAGTATAACGACTGGTGGAATGACCAGTCGCTATGATGTGCACTGACCACCATGGGGCTCATCTTCCCAGAGGGAGGCTACTGGAGGCGGTGGCAGGGGACAGGGCCCGTGAGCGGGTGATGCCAGGCCACTAGCCAAGATAGGTGCCAACTGGCCCCCTCCCCAATTGCCCTGTCACCAGTCATCCTGCAGATGGCCCTGATCACCGGCCAGGCCTAGGGACTCTACCCTATTATTGGGAACCGTCTCTTAGATTTAAAAATTAAAACCTAACACTGAAAAGAGAATGATGCAGCAATGACATGCAGGGAGTCTGGCTTGCACATTTTGTGGTCAGCCCTGATTCTGACACTTATAACTGTGGGACAAAGCCAATTATTTAACCTTTTTCTGCTTTAGTTTTTCTCCCATAAGATGGGGAAAATGGTACTACTGCCCCAGAAGGATCATGTTATGTACTATTTTTTATAATCAGGGCAAAAAAATATAGCTGCCCATACAACAGCAAGATGCCTTTCACCTGTATGAAAAGTATGGTCACTGGTGCATGCAGCGTCTCGGATTGCGAGAGGATGCAGGCTGGGCTGGGGGGACACGCCGCCCCACACAGCCCCATGAATAAATTTTGTGCACTGGGCTTCTAGTTTAAAATAAACCATTTGATTATCTGAAAATTAATGTAGTAATAATGACCATTCTTACATGCTTGCCCATCACTGTTTTCACAGTGTGGATTACCAATTGAAGACTAAGTGTCTTTCTTCTGATTTAGAAGTTAAGGGCTCTCAAAAAATTGGGTAAAAGGTTAATAATAGCTTTGAGTATTCAAATAGGGCTAATAAATGACTCTTGAAATATTTTTTCAAGCTGGATGCAAATGAAACTTACCTGATGGAATGTCAGTGGCATTAATAGTGAGATGAGCATAAGGTTGAGTGTCAGGCTTGCTCCTCCTGGCCAGATCTAACCACGAACCTTCCACTGTAGCTAGATATGAGAGAAACCATGTTAGCCCAAAGACAAGTGACCTTGTGGAATTTCAAGTATTCATACAGATCCATACTTACCTTTTTCTGCTCTGATGTGTTGAGATCTAACAATATGCTGTAATTCCTGAAAAGAAAAAAGAAAAAGAATTTTGTTTACACATTCTTTCAGGAAAGCAGTAAGAATTTAGGACTGTTGGGCATACCGTAAATGAATCCTTTTTCCTTTAACATAAGCCATAAGTATACAGGAAATAAAATTCCTTGTTATTCTAGGTAGCTATCAAGGGGAGTACAGCCCAAAAAATTACATTGAAGTGCTAAAAAAGTAAGATTGCACACATACTAGCTAACAAAATACTTTGGACTATAAGAGGAAATGAAAGACAATGTAAATTATAAAACATACAATAATTGAACATAGTTAAAAACTTGTAGCAGTTACACAGATGGGGATGAAGTTAATAGGAAAATAACAACTACCGCAGAATACAGGACAGTGTTAAATTTTAGGGAGGTTCTTTTATGTCTATTTCATTAGTGAATTTCTGTTATAACATTACAAAAAATAGAATGATGCCTAGCTACCAGTGGTTAGTTTTTTATTTTAAAAAGTCACAATGTATAAATTACTACTTGGAAGTCTAGTAGCTTTTGAAGTACCAATTACCTTAAAATAATGCTGCAAACAGAGGTTTAGAGGCATGAGTCAGAAAAGGAAAGAACACAAGTCCATAAAGAGTGTAGGTAATTGAATATCTCAATGTGAGCCCTGCGGATGAAGGATGCAACAGATAATTCCATCGCACCTGAATCAAGACCTTGGCTACCATTAAATAGGTGAAGTGACTAAAACCTTGGGCTTTGACCTCAGTTCAAATCCATGCTCAGTTCGAATCAGTTACCTATTACATTGAGGATATTAACAGCAACTCTATCATAAGGTAATTGTGAAGAGTCACTGAGATAATGCACATAGGCACTTAGCAGAGTGTAAATACCAGAACTGCTCTGGAGACATCCTAATTTCTGTTACTGGATGAGCATGCGTGCTGAACATCCCCCTCCATGGTGTTTAAAGGATAGGCCATGGAGCTTTACTTCTTTGAGTGCCTGGAGAGAATGGCTTTGAGAAAGATGATAAATAGATGATAGATACATAGACCCAACAACACAACTTCAACTGTTAGCAGTTGGAAATGTTCTAGAGATAAGACAACACTGATTCTTTTCTCTGCCTTTAGGACCCCCATGGGAGAAGAGAATCTATTCAATTTTTAAATACTCTTAGAGGAGACAGCACAGCAATCTTCAGCTGCTTGTTCTAAAGTCCTGAAGAAATCATAGTGTTGCTGACTATTAGAAAGAAGCTTTAGGGATGTATCCAGGGCCACCTCTGTCCTCGCTTTGACACAGGGCACTGCACTGCACAGCTGCAGGAAATTCTAGGCAACTCGTAGCTCCTCTTGAGTTGTGCAAGGCATTGCCCTTACCAGGCATTGCTTTTCTTTCTACTCCATCCAAGTTTTATTTCTTTCCCCTGATGGCCTCCTATCTCCCATCTCTTCTCATGGCCTTTGGGTTTCCAGTTCTACCCTGACATAGAATTTCCTGATTTGGTCTCTTTCCTGATTTGATCTCTGCTGCATTTACAGCAAAGATTTTATATATGCACAATGTATCTTTGAAAATTTTATATACATATGTAAAATATAAATACCTGTATGTGTGTGTGCGTGTGCGTGTGTATATATATATATATATATATATATATATAATTTATATATATATATCCTTTTATAATGGGTATATATTTATAATACAATATATCTTTATACATTTACATATAAAATATATGTTTACCTTATTACTATCTCTTAAAACATTGGAATATGAATCTTGATGACAGAGTACTTTAAAATTGTCTACCCCTCATTTTCCCTGTAGCCCTGTTGTGCCTTATCGTCAAAGGGAAGGAGGAGCAGAGAAGGAAGCAATGCCAAGAATGGTCTGCAAATTCCTGTTTCAGGGGTCTCTGCTGAGAAATACACACTTATTGTTGAGAAAAGCATAGAAAGAGCCTCTGTGGGAGCTTAGTTATTTTCAGGCTTGAGCATCCATCACAGTCTCTCAGAGGTCATGTTGAAATAGAGTCTCTGATCCAGGTCTGTGGTGTGACCTGAGAATCTGCATTTCTAATAGGTGAGCTAATGCTGCGGGCCTGGGGCCTCAATTTGAGAACAATAATCCCTCTCACATCCCCAAAGACACCAGAGATGGGCAATCTGAGATTTTCTCAAAGCTTGAGATGGAGGCTAAAGAAGCATCAGGCTCCAGTCACTGATTAGTTGGCAGGGAAAATTTGTTCTCTCCCACCTGGGAATGAACTTCTCCTGCCCATTTAATCTGTGGTTTCTAGGTCAGAGCTGTCACAGATTTGTTCTGTTACAAGAAAATTCAATAACCAGCAACATCCAGAAGCACTTGCAATGTGTGCTATAAAAAATAAGAAACTGTGTCATAACCCAGGGTGAATTAAAATTCTAGCTAAAGACTCATAAGGCAATGCTGCTTTCTTGTTATACCTGTTGTTGGGTATCCAGGGATTGCAATTCCTCCCTGAAACTCTACAGGGAAGTTTCCATGTAAAAAGGGACTACATGATGTGTCTATAGCCTCACTCCACAAAAAAAAGTGTGTTCTCAATATCTGTTCTTGTATCTTACCCCCTCCCAATTTTTTGCACCCTGAGTGTATCGTTATTTATCTGTGTAGATAACCACAAACAACATTCTTCTAAGCCAGTGGTTGACAAACTTAATAGTCAACAGAACCAAATATCAACAGTACAACGATTGCAATTTCTTTTGAGAGCCAAATTTTTTAAACTTAATCTTCTTCTAACGCCACTTGTTCAAAATAGATTTGCCCAGGCCGTGGTATTTTTGTGGAAGAGCCACATTCAAGGTGCCAAAGAGCCTCATGTGGCTCGCGAGTCGCAATTTGCCAATCATGGTGCTAAGCCTACATTTTTAGAGTGCCTGGCCCCAAGCCCCAGCCAATCTAAGTCAATTAGGTACTGACTTAGTAGTTAGTAAAAGAAGCTCAGCAGGTGATGCCAGTATGCAGCAGGAAGTGAGAAACATTATTACTGACTCAGTGTTCCCTTGAGCAGTTGTTTGGTGACATCTCTATTTAGTCAGAGATTTATGATACTCTCACAACTTATACATATTCCACATGTTGAGAATGAAATTATCTCTTAGATTCATAGCCAACAGAGTATTTTCCCTTACATTATCATATTTGATTCACCGGCTGGGTAACTATTACTAACCTCATTATTTAGGAGGCAGAGAGAGAATAAGAACCCAGTGTATAAAATTGGGACTTGAACCTAGGCCTTTTGACACTTTTTTAGAGCTAAAAGCCCATTCCCATTTTTAAGATATAGTCATCAAACATACTCCTGAAAGCTGGGGGGAGGGGAGAAATATTAATGGCCAGTGATGGGCTTCAGAACATGCTACCCCCAAAAATGGTACCTTGACATACTGAATACTTTAAGCTGAAGGGATTTGAGAGGCATCCAGTGCAGGAAGGACTGACTATCTGACCTTCTTCTTATTCCCTGAAGCAGATCATAGACCCTCATGTGAGAGATGCTCCTCAAACCTGGAGGAAGGGAACATCCTTTTCTTTAAGCCCAAAGGGTGCTGAGAAAAACCAGAACGAAGGCCTTGCTACGTTTCCCCCAATTTGCTGTCCTTACTTCACGCCCTTTTGTCCTGTCACATTTTCCCACACTGCTCCTCTCTTCACCAAACCTAATATAAGCATGCAGGTTAATCATTTCTTCAGGTCTTCATCTCCTTATGAGGTTTTCCATGTCACATAAAGCATGTGAATTTGTGTACTTTTCTCTTGTTCATCTGTCTTTTGTCAGTCTAAGCTACAGGGTTCCAACTGGAGAACCGTGGAAGGTAGAGGGGGAAAAACCTCTTTCTGTTTCCCTTCCCCACACACGTCAAGAGGGTGGTTCCTTCCCTGAAGTAATGATGAGGAAATGAGCTATAGCTTGACTGGGGATCTGACAAAAAGAAGGCCCCCACATCAGGAAATATGGCCTCGGAAGGAATTCCCAGGAGCTTCAGAAAACAATGGGCTTAGAGGCCACTGAGCCATAGTCAGGGCTGGGCTGGTGACCCCTCCAAACTGAGCCATGCAGGTCCTAGGCATGAGGGGGTATCCTGTCCAAGTCCACTGCACAGAGCAGAAGTAATTCCCCAAAGTCAGATACCCAAGCATGGATCGTTCTCCAATTCCCTCCTAACTAATATTTTTCATTTTCAAGATCATAGGAACTCCTTCTGAAGCACTACCCAAATTCACTCTGACAATTCCATTTTCTTTTTAAGCTTTGAATTTACATTCATTTTCATCCACATTGTTCCTCTACGCCTGTCACATTAATGGGAATGCTTTAAAATTTGCAGAGTTCTTTTTTCCCCAATCTTATCATTCAAGCATTGTTTCTGGTTACTTTAAATTCAGAAAGTTCTGATCTAATTTGGGGAAAACACTACGAAGAACATCCTAATTTCCTCTCCTCTGAACAAATTATTCAAATGCAAGAGATCTTTTTAGAAAGCATTTTATCTTGTTTTAAATCCATTTGTACATAAATTTTTAAAAACCCTCTGGATAAACTTCCAATGCAAGCACATGTTGTCTGCAGTATCAGAATGCCCACAGATTTGCCGCAGAGAAGTGTGGACAGCTTGGACACACCTCCCAGCAAACAGCTTCCCACAGAAACTCGAAGCCACCTCCAGGGTGAGGAAGCTGGGCAGAAGGCCTGGCCTGCATTCTTCTCTTGGCTGAGAGCCACGAAAGAGAACCCAGTGTCCTGCTCCCCGGGAAGACCACAGATCTGCCTTCTCAGAATACAGCATGTGTCGTATCTGTTACATGCAAGGGACAAAAGGAATTCCCTCCGGGTTCTATAAAGTACACATGACAATGCCTGTAAGTTACTAAGAGAATTCACGTGAATGAATGAACTTGCTTATGGTTACACTGTAACAAGTAGGCTTTTCAGAGAATTTAAGTAATTTTAGATAAGCA